TCTTGTCGATTTAGTACTTCTGGAAACCACCGAAATTCTCACTGCCATACAATCATAGTCATACAACATGGAAACAGGCCTTTCAGTCCAACTCATCCATGCCTTTATAAGTTAAAGAAATTTTTCCTCAATTCAATTGGATTCCAGCTTTTTACTTTCCAAATAAAAATTGCATAATTTCCAGAGATAGAGACAACAATGCTTAGAAGGTACAGAGCACTGCAGCAAACTTAACTAGCTTCTTACTTCCTGCCTTCCTTGCTTGTATGTTTTTTATTAAATTGGAGAGTGCTTTGCAAAGACAGTGTGTTTTTGTCAAGGGTTATATCCAATTCTTACTCCTGACTGGGGTAGTGCACTGGAAATCAACATCTGCTACTTCCAGAGTCATCACAAAAGTTTAAAAATGTTCTCAATTTATGCAAAGTCCCCAATTCCTATCCAATAGATTTGGGTGAACAAAACTCAGACCAAATGTCTGAATAACCAGTAGTATTATTTATTAGCGATAAATAATTGCTTGCTTTTGGTTAGAAACTCAGAGCTGTCAACACTTATCAGTTAAAACTCCAAAACGCTACAGACAAACAAAAGTCCAAAAAAAAATGTTGTGAAAGGAGAAAATCACTAGAGAAACAGTTTAACAGCATAAGTTCAGGATTCAATGTATATGTTAAACGTAGAAATACAGAAAGTAGAGGAGCAGGCCATTCAATCCTTCAAGCCTGCTCTGCCATTCAATATTATGTCTGATCGTTCAACTCTGTATCCTGTTTACACTTCCTCCCAATACCCTCTGATCCTTTCAGCCATAAAAACTATACCTACCTCCTTGAAAATATTCAATTAGTTGGACTCAACCGCTTTGTGTGGCAGAGAATTCCACAGGCTCACCACTCACTGAGTGAAGAAATTCCTCATCTCAGTCCTAAACAGCATGCGTCATATCCTTAAGACTGTGACCCCTGGTTCTAGACTCATCGATCATTGAGGATATCCTTCCTGCATTTACCCTTTTAGAATTGGATAGGTTTCTAGAAGATTCTACCACCTGACCCCAACCTTCATTTGAACTCCATTGAATAAGACCCAAAGCAATCTAGTCTCTCCTCATACGTCAGACCTGCTATTCCAGGAATCAGTCTGGTAAACCTTTGTTGCTCTGCCTCCAGAGCCAGAGCATCCTTCTTCAGATAAGGGAGACGAAAATTGTACACAATACTCCAGCAGTGGTCTCACCAATGTCCTGTACGCAGCAAGACATCCCTGCTCCTTTATTCAAATCCTTTGGCTAAGACGACCAACATATCATTTGCTGCCTTCACTGTTTGCTGCACCTGCATGCCTACTTTCAGTGAGTGCTGCATATAAATACCTAGCTCTCGCTGCACTTTCCTCGTTCCCAATCTATCATTCAGATAATAATCCACAACAGAGGATTAGCTCTCATTTATCCACACTATACAGCATGTCATTTATTTGCCCACTCATTGAACTTGTACAAATTATTCTAAAGAATCCCTGCAGTTCACTTTCTGACCCAGCTCTGTGCTGTCTGCAAACTTGGATATTACATTTAGCACTGATCCCTGCAATACCTCACTATTTATAAACTGCCAATGCAGAAAATGATTCTATTTATTCCTACTCTTTGCTCCCAGTCTGCCAACCAGTTCTCTTTTCATGGCAGTGCACCACCCCCAATCCCATGCACTTCAATTGTGTGTTAATCTCTTGCGTGGGAATTTATCAAAAGCCTTCTGAAAGCCCATGTAAACTGTGTCCACTGGTTTCCCCTTATCAACTCTACCAGTCACATCCTCAAAAAAAATTTCAGTAGTTTTGTCAAGCATGATTTCCCTTTTGTAAATCCATGCTGTCCACTCCTGTCACTGTCTTCCAAGTGCTCTGCTACAAAATATTTTATCGTGGACTCTCGCATTTCCCCCGACCACCATCATCAGGCCAACCAGTCTATAAATCCTTGCTGTTTCTCTTTCCTTTTTCAAATCATAATGGGGTTACATTAGCGACCCACCAATCCATAGGAATTGTTCTAGAGGCTACAGAATCATGGAAGATACCACCAACACATCCCCTTTTTCTAAGCCACTTCCCTAAATAGATTAGATTATCAAGACGCGAGGATTTATCAGCCTTGAATCACAATTTTCCAAGACCATTTCCCCACTGATACTGATTACCTGCAATCACTCCCTCTCATGACATTGTGTCCTACTTTGTGAAGGCAGAAACAAAATGTATTTATTTGATCTACCCTTTTGCACCCCATTATAACTTCCCATTTCTGACTCCAAAAGACCTACATTCATATTCTATTTTTGTTTACCATATTCCGATAGAAGAGCCTACAAATTAATTTTAATATCCACCATAAGCTTACTTTTCGCAACACCAACCCCCACCCAACTTAATCACTCCCTTTGTCCTCCTTTGCTGAAAACTGAAACTGTCCCCAACCCTCAGATGGGCTGTTTTTTTGGTTGACATGTAAGCCCGACCTTGAATCCAATAATGATCCATAATTTCCTGGAGAAGCCATGGTCAGTCCACTTTACCCGTTTTTATTCATTTCTGCCTGGCAAAAAAAACAATTGTTACAGTTGCTTCATGCTTTTTAAATGTTTGCTAATGCCTATCCACCATCATCCCTTTAAGTAACATTAAGCTCTTCATTTTTATAAAATGAACAGCTCATTTTGTTTCTCAGATCCTTCAGTTCTCCGAGCTTTTCATCAAGGTTTATTTTCACTTCACAAGAGGCACAGAGTAACCAGTTCACGTTTGATGAAGTCTATGACAATGGGCTCTTGTGGTACTGTGGAAGTGCTCCTACCTGAGCCAAGATGCCTGGGCTCAAGTCCTACCTGATCCAGAGGTATGTTATAACATCTCTCAACAGGCCGATTAGAAAATAGCTATGACTGAGGCTGGAAGAGTGCATCATTGATTAGTGGGACTGCAATGAATCACAGCACGGAAAAAAATGTCTCTGACTTACCAGCTAAAAGTAACTGCTCACAGCAACTGGTGGGAGAAAATAACTGGCTTCTTTAGCTTTCAATAGTTTACTGGAAATAGATATACCATCTCCCCTTTCATAGTCTTCTTCTTGTAATCATTCACAACTGTTCAGCTACCCAGGGACCAGGGCTGTCATCAGGCTGATAACCTTTGGCATGCACGATTGGTCACAGTTCCAGAAACTAATCAGTAACTAGTTGACAGCCAAATCTCCCTCTGTATACACACTGGTGGAATGCTGTCTCCTCTTACACCTTCCTCCACTGCTTGTAAGGCAACAGGGTAAACACACCCGCAAAGGAGTTTCAGGAACTTGCTTTAGAAAAGTACAATAATTCCTGAATCCTTTATCGTAAAAGTCCTTTTCCCAATTTAGTCCACATTTCATATTTTAATTTGAAAAGGAATGTGGTCTTTATACAATGCAGACATATTTTGAACTTTCAGTCAATGCTGTTAAAACCTGGGCAAAAACAAGCTGTTAAAATGGCTGTTGTAAAAAGTGTGATTTTTGATCTTTGATCTATCGTCAATACAGTGTCTCATAATATTGACAGTCACAGCCATCCAGGAGATTCATATAGCCAAGACAGTTCAACAAATGATCAAAACTCAAAGTGGAAGTGAACAGCCTGATTGCTATTCTATCGTATTGGGATGGCTGAGCAAACTGCTAAGATGTTAAACCACAGCACAGGATTTGATTTTCTGTTGAAGGGTCTAGGCCCGAAACGTCAGCCTCTCTGCTCCTATGATGCTGCTTGGCCTGCTGTGTTCATCCAGCCCTGCACCTTGTTCTCTCGGCTTTTCTGATGAAGGGTCTAGGCCCGAAACGTCAGCCTCTCTGCTCCTATGATGCTGCTTGGCCTGCTGTGTTCATCCAGCCCTGCACCTTGTTCTCACAGGATGTGATTGTTTGGACGAGGACTTAGACTTAGACTTGTCAAATCACATGAGAACCACTGTTGTCTGCTTTGGAAAAAAAAAAAATCAGTAATGAGCTGTTTGCTTACAGTTCCAAAGCCAATACCAGAAACACTTCTGAGGACCAGAAGTGAGCTGTATAACAGGCTGCCAGAGCATGTAACTTGTTCCAGTTAAAGTTCACCTGAGAACCATTCTTCTGTAAATTAGACAAAAGGAAACCCCTCAGCCTTTTAAGAACCTTTTGCATTATAATTCCCACTTTAAACTTTTAAGACCTAACTTCATTATAGAAACCCAGGTCTGCTTTGTCAGAGGCCACACATGGGAAGCCAGAAACCAAGTTAACCATTGTTTTGTACCTGTAATTAATCATTGCATGCACATGCGAGAAACTGAGTGGGCAACTTGGCATTATTTTCAGAATGAGAAAATAAATAACCTTGGTTTGAACGTAGGAAAGCTTGCTGCTGAGATAATGGAATTGGGATCCACATTCCATGGGTAAAAATAACACACATTTCCAACATACAAAACAAACTGACCACAAACCGTGAAGAGAAAACAAATTCCATCTGTGACACATTTAAATCTGAGCTCTGTAATTTGGGACAGTGCCCTATGGTTCCAGGGAAGCACACAGAAATCAATATCAACTCAATGAAAGACTTTTTTGGACAATCATGTATTACAGAGCAATGTGTAGAAGCTTGGAGCAGCCACCACAAAGACTCAAAACAGAACATCTGAAGTCATACACGAGGAAATCTGTTAGACTGTATGCATCTGATAACGATTGACATGAAAAGCAAGTGTACACTAAATACGCATGTAACATTTAGTAAGTCACCTTGTGTACTTCACTGAAAGAAACAAATCTGAACTGCACTTTGCGGTGCAGATTTTATAAAATGTATACTTTTACGGCAAAAGTAACTGGCAACCAAGCATCATTTTATTTGCAATATCTAAATTTTCTATGCATGGAATGACATCCATTGCATTATCACATTCAAAAACAGGGAGATCAATCAACAGAAATTTGTCTTTATTTAGATCTTTAGTTCCAGCAATGAGAAATCACGTACCTTCCTGAACACACGGCAGTATTTGAATCGAAAATCATGAGACAACAGATTTACCTTTTGTAAATGTCAGTCAACACCGAAACAAAAACACATCCACAAAAACATCTTGGTCACAAATCACTTAGAACCTTACAAATACAATAAACTGGTACAGTAAAAGGTTGATGTGCATTAGTTCTAGTGCTCAAAGTCCAGTGTTCAGATAAACTGGATACCGTGCAGGAAGTACAAGACAGGAGATGCCGTGTGAATCAAAGTATTTTGGCTTCAATACGATAAATCAGCTACCACTAACATAAGCCTGCTTTTGAATTGTTACTGAAAAATATTATACTTCAATCATAAGATCACCACCTCACAGTATACCAGTCTATTTAAGTGTACAGTTAAAAAAGCAACTTCGAACAAACATTAACAGTTGTTTTTCCAAGAGCTATCAGCGATTGCAACTGCAATACTAAAGCAGCAGGGAGAGGGGAGAAAAGCAGCACTGGTGATTACTTGTACCTGCACAGTACAATATTTAACACTGCTGTAACACAATATACTCCTCAAAGCTTGATTAATGGGAGTACTTCCACTGAGCACACGTGCGATTATCTGGGAAAGAGCTGGACTTCCTGTTACCAATAAATTTTTGGTGATGCACAGTGGGTCGAAGATTTGTAAACATAAAAAAAAAAGGAAAATTAAGCATTAATGCTGAAATACTGTAAGAATCAAGTTTTGTAAGCTGTAGTGATCAAACAAGGCCTTCTAGGGAAATGCTGGGTTCCAGTGACCTGACTATTATGTTCTCTATTTTTTCCTACTTCTGAGCATGAATTTTGATAATTATGTTCACAGTGAAAAAGTTAATTTTCCTTTCTTAAAAAAAAGATGTTTCACCTGTTATTGGCCACTGAAGACAACTGCTAGCAGCATTTTCCACCAAATTACATCGATTGCACCATTAAGGTGTGGAATCACTTGTAAAGCTCTCATGTTCCAGAAGAGGCCAGGATTATTACCAAGATACAGACACCATTACTTCTGGTTAAACTAACGATTGCAACTTGGTGACCCACTTCAGATGGCTCTGCAGTCCCTCAAGTAGCCATTCATTCCTCAAGAGCCTGCTAGAAAACAGCTGCCAATTTAGAATTCAAACTTGACCTCACTCAACATCCCACAGTAATTTGCACTGAATGGTAACTAGAAATTAGTCAGAAACAGAAGGCTAAACTTATTTCTTCCCTGGTTCCCCCTAACCACCTGAATCAGCAAAAAATGTGGAGGGTAAAACATGAGCAATTAACAGAGGCTATTCAAAAGAACACCATATGGCACTTTTAAGTAGTCGTTGAAGATGCACTGCTCAGCAACATACCCTTTCTTGTATATTTCAGATAGCAGGGCATCATTTGGGGGACACTCCCTCCTGAATAGGATGGTGGGAAGGAGTTAATGCATTTTGAGTGCAAAAACAAAGCGAGGCAAAGAACTAAACACCTGATAATTCAAGTTGTTTGTTATTTCCTTGTACTGCTGATCTAATACATTTCACTAAAAATAACTATTTTGTTCACTTTCTAGATCTAAAATTACCGCTTCAAAACTTCCTGGCTCCTCAAGTCAGTGCTGTCATAACACAAAATGACCTGAAAGGTTGAGGATTCCCAAATTCTGTTCTGCTTGCCAGATTTATTATTTTGTTAAATAAGCAAAAATTAATCCAGGCTTGTGTTCTTCCTCTCTTTTTGCAAGGATCTCCACCACAGGGACTTATTAAAACCCCTGTCCAAGGGAAAAAAAAACACAATTTTGTCCATATACAGGGCCATTATGTTCATCTGGAACAGGGAAGAAAGGAAATGCAGTGCTGTGGCATTAAACCAGAGACTTAGTTAAAAGTATAGGGTGGTATACATTGGAGAATGGCCCATGTTTTCTATCTGCCTGGAACAAAAGCACAGGATGTTTGGATTCCGCTTGTCTGCCATGAACAATCAGCTCAGGGTATTGAGAGCTCAATGTTGTTGGAGGACTTCTTGAAATAATGTGACAGACCTAGCTTACATTTTCAGAGGTTGACACTCCATCAGCGCCCGAAGTTTGGTTATAGTCACCGCCATGTCGTAGAGTCTATTTTTGTTGCCTGTGGGAATCACTAGAGAAAATTAAACAGTTTTAACAAAACATGTTATTTGGCTTAAAAAAAAGAAATAGTCTTGGCAAAGACAGCCAATGCTCAAAGTTTGAGTGGGAAAACACTTACATGCAGATACTGCTTTCCAGAAATACCATATATATTTGTTGTATTGAAAGCACACCTCTAGCACTATTGTGGTAGTTTGATTCGGATATTCAAATGCTGATGCCTTGTGCAAGCCCGGCATGTATGTTCTCACTCAGTCTGTGTCCAGTTTTACAAGTGATAAATTCACTTCCATACAATTGTGGAAACGTCCTTTTTAAGTAAAGCTTATCTACATTCTTTTGTCAATGAAAATTACGCACAAACGTTTTGTGCTTTTAAACACCGCAGTCATAATATTGTGCAGTGACTGCAGAGGTGAGACTGCTGTGGCCTGAAAGAAAACTCTACTGTTCAACTCAGAGCTCAAATAACAATGTCACAACAGCAAGCAAATGTTAATCATTAAACCTAAACACTGCAGTCACAAAGAATTGGAGGCCCTGAGAAACGGGTATATTGCTGATGTTTCATCAGATCTGAACAGGAGAGCTAAATATCACTGAAGCCAACTGAATCATTAGTTTTACCAAAGCGATCACAGCAAGGGTCCTGTGTTAACTCAGCCCGTGTCCAGTGATGACCAGCATCAGATTGCTTTGACTTCAAAAGCAGGTCATCTATATTCACTACTTGAGCAAATACAGCCCTCCTCCAAAATGGAACCAAAAGTACATCAGGGAAACAAAAAAATAAAGTTAGCTTAATTTGTTGCAATGGCTTGATTCAAGCTACTGAACATATTTTACTGACCACTGTTGCTCAAAGCAGAGGGAAGCATGAAAGGCTGTAGATTCCGTTAAAGAATTAAACTGGCTTGAAGTACCATCATATTGTGTAGGTGGCCACACTCTTCCCAGTTGCACAAAAAATAATTTGTCTTTATTCTACCAAAAATCTGGGCAAATATTAAAGCACAAAGATCTGTCATGCACTACAGGGAGCAGCTTCAAGAGGCTTCAGTGGATTTGAATTGCAGTTGAAGATAAATACTTGCAAATCAAATCAGCCTCTGAGAATAGTGATAAATGCATTGTTATCAACTCTCACCAAGTATGAAGAACACTGCAGAGGGAAGACTAAAGGAGCATCTTCAAGGAAACATTCTAATTTTCTCTTTACCAGAATAAGGTCAGTAATGAAGCTGCATTGATTTTCTGTCTCCAAAGAATTTAGGCCACAGGTGATCCTGCTCCAGTCAAGAAACTGCATTTCTGATCTCCAATGGATGGGAATGAGCAAACTGTGTTCTCTACAATTACTGTCCTTTCTCCAACTCCCGTGCTTTCCAGTGATCAAATAAGATTGTCCAAGCAAAAAACAAGATGGGGAATGAAATACTGGGAGCTGAAGAACAAAGAATTTATACACACAAGAACAGATACAAAATTCAAGTGGAACCTCAGACATTTTCTCACGGACCAACTCTGGTCGCACTGGAAAACCAAATGGTCGCCAAGTCTAAAATAATGATAGCAACTTTGCGTGTTGTCATAGAAAAGAATGGAACACGATATAACTAACTAAACTTGAGGGTCTGGGGCAGTTGATATCTGTACCACTTCTTTTAAACATTAGTGAAAATAACACAAGTAAAACTCCCACCCTACTTTGGTGGTCGTACTTCAAATGCTTATCTATGATACCAGAAAATATGTTTGCTACACTACGCCAGTCATGCATTAAAAAGCAATTAGAAATACTGAGACACATCAGGAGCACAAGGAAAAGGGTATTCATTCAGCTGCCTCCAACTCGCTGCATATCCAAGTAAAAACTTTTGGAGTTCAATTCCAAGTTTATCCACAGAGGTTCAGCTGAACGTTCAATGCAATATTGACATTCCTTTTCCACAATCTCACTTCTTCCTAGCAGTTGTATTTATCAGTAAGGTTTTACCCAGTGCCTTTGCCAGAAATACAAAAACCCAGGTGCTGGAAGTGCCAAATTCACTATTGGCTTTAAAATTTAAAAAAGTCTACTGATCTCATGGTCCCCAATTGTTGTGCAGGTACATTAAATTATTTTAAATAATGAGCTTGGCAAACAAATCAGGAACCCGACTTATCCTATTCCTTCAACTGGTAGGTTGAAGAAATTGACACTTAACAATATAAGACAAATATTCAGTGCAGTGGACCCATCTAAGAATCAACATTAATAAGGCATGCACCTTGCTCAATGTAAGACATGGCAGTCCATTCCATTCAAAACAGTATCATATCTAGTAGAAATCTGAACCTATCATTGGCAAAATGGAGCTGATACAATGATTGACACTCTTGTATTTATGCTTTTTTGAAGTGAAGTGGGATGTGGAGCGTGTCAATAGGAACTACTGAAACTGTCAGAACTCCAAGCATTCATCAGCCATTAAGTTCAGGAAGGCAGAAATAACTAAAGGCTCTTTTTCATCCATCCAAAACGCCTCACTGCAGGAGCTGATTTTAAGCCTTGGCTGCACAAGGGGGCGCTGTTAGTGCATGTTAAAGATCACAACTATAGGCATTTTGATATTCTACAAATATCATGTTTCACCACAAATAAACACATTTTAGCTTCATAAAAACCACAAGGTTTGAAAGCTTGTCTTAAGCCATCTGCTCGTGGCAAAAAAAAACCCACCAGTGATCATTCCTAAACGGTGCATAGAATTTGAAGGAAACCACAAGTGTGATAATTACTGCACTTCTTAATGAACATCTTCCTACTTCAAAGTTCCTTTCAGCAGTTTCCATCCCTTCAAAAAAAAACTGGTTGAATAGTAAGAATACTAAACACAGCAAACTCATTCATGGGTGGGTGCCCATTTCAACCCTGCCTATAAAAATGTCTTGAATGTGACAATACCGTGCACAGCCTTCACAGCAAAGGCACAGTAGTGTGCGCAGGGACAAGGCAAAAATGCAAACCAGTAGTAACCTTTGATACTGTCATCCCTTAGCGGATCATGGTACGGCACCAGTCGCAACAGGACACATGATGCTTGCTCCGCTTCATAAACAATCTCCTGCAACTATATTATTGAAATCCAAGTCAGCTGTACATTAAGGCTTGTAACACTTCTATATTCTTCTCCAGTTTGCCGAGCTGTTCTATGGCCTGCATGGTTTTCCTCTCGGGCACTAAGCCACCACTACGCACAATGCAAAGGTATGACAAACTTGCAACCAAAAGGTGAGTGATAGGAGATTCCCACTTCCTGGAAAACCTTCTTTGGTATCCCAATATCACAGAGATACACCCGCCCTGCACTTTCCCCCAACGGCAAAGGTAGGCCGACAGCGAGAGACCACTTGGCATCAATGACATGCTCCAATTCACCCACAGGCGGGTCGATGCTCAACACTGGAGCTCTATTCTGGTTGGCCCATTCGACAGCTGCTCTGTACCATGGCTGCTCGCGAAGAAACGGGTTCTCGTGACAGTCAAGACAATTGATCACCAAGTCAACAGGAGTATCTGGCAAGTCTGGAAGTTTAGCAAGAAAAAGGAAAAAAGGTTACTCAAGAAAGAGGTGGGAAATAATTTCAAATACAAATACCACCTTGCGTCAAGTCTAAAATTTAATGCTGTGATCTGCTTCACAATATTTGGTAAAAAGTGGAAAGTGGGAAATCCCAACCAAGTTGGCAGGTGCTGGATGAACAGGCAAGCCAAATCTCTAGTACCAAGGTAAACTTGGGTTTGGTAGCAAGATGTAGCAGTACCACCAGGGCATCATCACTCTATTCGCCTCCCTGTTACATAATAGATACAGTGCACAGAATCATATAAACAATCTAGACTACAATGTGTTGCAGTATGAGGGAGCCCCAGTGTCAGAGGTGCAGTCTTCCACTTTAGATATCAAACCACAGAGTCCTCTGCCTATTTAGGTAAATGTATAAAATCTCACAGCATTATCTAAAGAACAGCAAAGCAGTTTAATAGGTCCTTTATCATATTGCTATTTAAAGGACATTGGTATGTGCAAACTGGCTTTCAGGTTTCGCTATAATACAATAGAAACATTTTAAAAGCAGTTACTTTGGCTAGGAAGCACTTTGGGGCACCTGGAATGTCGGAGCAGGCGTGATATGTCTAATTTTCTTTCATTCTTCTCTGCAAAGGGTATAACCGAGTTTCAACTGGCAACTGTCTCAGAACATAACAAGTTCCAATTTAAACACAGTTGAAAGTCACACACAGCTTGCAATTCATTAAGAAACTTAAAATGATAAGAGTTGTAACATTGAAGGGATGATTAATAAAGTTCAAGAGATGGCGTTCCTCATCATAAAATTCCCTTCCCATTTCTAAGAACTGTATCCATGCCTTGGGGTATATACCGGTGTCAATCAGAAATGGAATCTAAATATGTGCCAAGCTGTAAGCATTCGCAACAGGTGGGCAAAAAAAAACTGCGCCAAAGGCAAGATTAATGTTTCTGATTAACATCTACTGATTGAGGGTTGCAATGCTTTTGAGATCTTAGCGTGAGAATGAAATAGCGTTTAAGAGCCCTCAGGCGTGAGCAGTTTTGAGACTGTGGTTGAATGAAGCTGCATTTGCTCGGAGCCAACATATTCTCCTCTCCCAGAATCCAAGCTGGAACATGACGTGGCCATCGTACCCTGATTGCATTCTTTTGAGAGCCATTTCCTAATGACCTTCAACCGGAGGTGCAATTCTTTTAGGAACCAAGGGCATGACTTGGCTTTGTGACTTGGACATAAAAGACTTCCAAAACTTTAATCATAATTTTAACCAATTATAAATGTTGCAGAACTTTTAGCAAAGCAACTTTTCAAAGGAAATGCATAAAAATACTAAATGACAAATGGAAATGGTTTTTCTCCTCTGGGCTCAAATCACATTAACAAATGCTATTTATGGCAAGGTGAAAAATCATCAATGGTGCAAATGAGAAGTTTTTTTAAAACATGGAGGAAAGAGGACACCGGGCTAGAATAGTACAAAGATATGCAAGTGACAGTGTCTCCGCATTACGATGAGGGAGGGAGAAGAAAGGAATCAAACAGGGTCCCTACTTCTGGGAGCGGTGAAGGGGATGGTGGTGATGGTAGTCGGAGAAGAAACTGCAAGGAAACACCAGGAGAGAAAAGGAAAATGTCAGTTGATCAGTAAACTGCCCATAGAGCAAATAGGGAATTATGCACAGACCTAAAACAGATACTTAATGAAGAGCAATGTTGAAACAGGTTTGGACTGTCCTAGATCGGTTTCAGTGTAATCCAAAAGAGATCAATAATGTAAGCGACCAACAACCTTCGTGTCAAAAGTTATCGTTCTTAGAACGACAGCACAGTTCATATTGCCAACCTGAACCAATGGATCAGTTCTGAGATTATTATTTACAATATCTATTAATAACTTGGATGAGAGAAGTGAATGTACTTATAACCAAGTTTGTGGATAACAGAAAGTAAGTAAGTGGGAAGGCAAGTGGTGAGGATGACAAAGTTGACAGAAGGATATGCAAAAGGTTATACAAAAACTTGGCAGATTATATATAATGTAGGAAAATGAAGTTTTTCACTTGGGCAGGAAGAATAGAGCAGGTGATTATTGAAATGGAGAAAAGACTGCAGAAAGCTACAACACCAAGGGATTTGCATACATAAAAAGCTAGCATCCAAGTTCAGAAGGTAACAGGGAATTTCAAAGGAAATCCAGTATAAACATGAAGAGGTCTTGCCAAATCTACACAAGGCACCAGTTACAGTACACCTGGAACACTGAACAGTTTTGGATCCCTTATTTAAGGAGGGATAGACTGGGACAATCTAGTTCAGAGGCTCATTAGGTTCAGCCTGGCTATGGAGGAACTGTCTGATCAGAAGAGGTCGGGTCTGCATTTGAGTACAGAGAAATGAAAGGCGATCTTACTTAAATACAAGATTCTTAGGGGACTTGACGGGGTAGATATAGACAGATTGTTTCCCTTTGCGGCAGGATCTAAGACCAGAGGACGTAATCTCCGTAAGGAGACACTGGTTTAAAACAGTTGAGGAAAAATTTCTACAAGGGCAGTGAATTGGTGGAATTTTTTAAAAAATCATACAGGACTGTCACGGCTGGGTTGTTAAGCATAATCAAGGCCGAGACCGATTTTTAATCAGTAAGGAAATCAAGGATTAATGGGGAAAAGGCAGGCAAATGGAGTTCAGGATTATCAGGCCAGCAATTATTTTATTGAATAATGGATCAGACTCAATGGGTTGAATTACCTACTTTTAATCCTAGGTCTTATAACCTTGAACCACTGATTAATTAACCCGCTAAAGACATAACACCATAGATCTCCTGATTGCCAGTCGATATTGCAGCGTAATCACAAGTGGCGCATAGAAATCCTGCAGCATCGTAGGAATTGACTGGTAAATTCCATCTTCTGTTGGCGATTCCACTAAACCTGGAATCCTGCAAAAGTCTCCATTTAAGTCAGAGACTTGAGTTCAGGTGAAATTACTCTGGAAGTGTTAGACTGTTGGATACAGTCTAATTCCTGAGTATTCCACTGACCCCATACTTACCTTACACACCCTATCCAAACCATCCAACCAATCAATCCCTAACCTGACATCCAGGTCCCACTTTCCCTTGCTGGTCCCGATTTCTCATTTACCCACCTCAACCTACCTTAAACACTATAATCACTTACTCTGAGACTTGGTACCCTATTGCCTCTACCCAGCATCCTAACCTGAGGATTATTGAGAATCAGCAAGATTTGATGCATCTTTTATACTGCCATGCTGTTGATCTAGCATAGGCAGCTCCTGACAGATGATGATGAATGTAAATTTGGGAGCAGGGGCTAGCCTGAAGAAATTTATCAAGTTTTCTTTGGTGAAACCCAAAAATCAGGAATCGATGACAGAAACAGTGCAGTGAAATCAAGATGAAAGCAGCTACACTTTGTTGAGTGCTCAAATTTAGGGCATTCTCAAGGAGTGAAGTAAATGCGTTAATTTATCCAAATAGTCTCTGGAAACCGCTCGTGTACCATCGGTACCAGCGAGCATAGGGTAAAATTGCATCTGTATTTGGCTTAGTCCAACCAGCAGTAGTAAGCCTATAATAAGTCGTATTTCACACGGATCTCAAAATATCGATAAATGCTCCGGACAAACACAACCTACATTTAAGACAATTGTTAATGGTTCTCGTGAGTTGGTTTCTACAGTTGAGTATTTTTAAAAAATCACCAAAATACTTCACAACAAACCCAGTTTAAAAGCTTTTTCCTTTTCATTTCTAAAAGAGACTTGCAATCGTTAAAATTTTACCTACACTGTAATATTTAACTTGAAATGGCTAGCGATGAATGCTACTGACACCAATTCAGAAAATTCAACGGCACAGGAGTTGACATGAAGTAGGCAATTCTTTCAAAAAGTTTAACATTTTACAGAAACTTCAGTTCACATCAGAACATTAATTACTTTGAAGCATAGGAATTTGCTAAATGGGAAGAAACAAAAAAGTCATTTTTCACACAGCAGAATTCAACAAACAGGCATTAGGTTAATGGCCTGTTAAAATGGTCAAGGGAGAAACATTTTCCTTAACACCAGAAGAACTTCCATATTTTATTTGCATACTGCCACATAAACCACTGGAACTGGCTTCATTTAATGCCTCATCTGTGGATTGGTACCTTCAACAATGTAGCACTTCCTTTATACTCTACTAGGATTTCAGCCTAGATTGTGTACTCAAGTCCTCGAAAGGGTCTTGAAGCAACCATTTGGCTGCTGCCAGAAGCAGACTCCAAAAACTACTTGGATGTACTCGTAGTTATCTTACATGTTAATCTGTGCCTGCTTTAATTTACCCATCCAAACAATCAAAATAAAGTTTAGAATTAAAATAAGTAGTAACTTAGCCAGGGCCTGACTACTTCAATGGCAGAAATAAAACAGATACAATCCCATGCTGTGAAAATCCAATCTCCAGTTAGTGCACACTTCATGTTGGCTTCTCCAAAAGCCAAGTTCAAGGACTGACTGGCATTCAGTACACTTTCACACTCAGATTCATGTACCACAATAAATAAATGGGGCAAAAAAACAAACCAAATCATACAGGCTTGCTATCACGTACCTTTCACACTGGCCACCTGTTTCCCTTCTGTCTTGCTAAAGAGTTGCAGTTCTGTGGTGATACACTCCAGCATCTTCACAAAGTTAGGCAAGAACAGGATAATCTGTACCTGGTGGTTGGCAAGGTGGCGACCGCAGCTGATCCCCTGAGCACCCTTCACGTGTGGTCCACACAACAAGGCGACGGTTGGACGCTGGTGAACATTCTTGGGGTTTAACCTTGAATATAGAATAAATATCTTGATTTAACTTTTAAGCAAAACCACCACGTGCAATCACACTAAAGTATTTGCATTACATACTGCAAATGACAAAAATCTGAAGACCAAATCGTTTTGGGGGGAGAAAATGGTGGTCTAGTGGTGCTACCAATGGACTAATATCCCAAAATTGGGGAATAGAACAAATAACTGATGTAAATGATGACAAGGATATGGTGAAAGAGTGAGGAAGAGAGACTGACTGAATTGAATACAAAGAAGCCCATTCTGAACTTTCTGAAATGATTTCCTTTTGCGCTAAACTAATTTATGATTTGATGTTTCAGGGCCCCTACTTAAATGATGACTAAACATACCAAGGCAAAATGATTACAATGGATTCAGGGAACTTGCAATGCAGCAGTAGTCTACTTTTCCCATCAAAGTCAGTGACTCCGACCACTGCCACACAGGCAAGGATTATTCCTTTTTAAAATAACAAAAAGGTTTGGAGAGCTAATTCTGAAATTCACTGATGAATAAAAGATTGTATCTTATAAATGTTCAAAATGTTCAAGCATTTGATAAACATTCCAGGAATGGGCAGAGTCTCAATAAAGGATCCAATATTACTGAGTAAATTGAGGGGGGGCCCCAAATGCACAATGAGTAGAAAAACAAGGCAGCAAAAAGAAAAGTCATTGTTACTCCCACCACAAAAGATAGACATAAACTAGCAGGATCTCCCAATATTTGGAATTCTGATATGTTTGAGTTCCACACCCAAGGAGGAAATTGCCCATTAAACATCCTGCACCATATGAAACCATTTCCTTAGATCTAGTCCCAACAGGCACCAAAATCACAATTGGAAGAAATTAATATTTGTTAGTGCCAGCTCATGCCCTGCAAGAAAAGAATTTGGAATATTAGTGAAGTTTTTTTAAAGTTTGGCATCAGAATCAGCACACACAAATCAAAGTCTTTGTTGTTTTTGTACTGGGTTTGGAGAAGTTAATTAAACTAACTTCTAAAATACAGCCTTTGTGCAGCCACTTTGTCTTCTTGCAGCCTAAACCAAGAAGGATTGCATTCTTGGGACCAATGTAATGAGGGTTAAAGCTGAGGGTGGCTGCATACTGAGTGTGTTGAAATGGTACTGCGACAAGCACATCGCACATCAGAGACGATTACAGCATCTCATGTCGAAACAAGCTAGAGATAGCATCAAGTGAAAAAGTTAGCCAGAAACAAACTAAACAGTCATGAAAACTGAACAAGGAACTTTAAAGTGGAAAAATAGTAATCCTTCACTGAGGCTTGAGCATCTGTAACGTTGACGTAGAGCGTAGAAGGATTGAATTTATTTCTGATATTTGTAATTTCACCATTTCAAAATGTTCTTAGAAACTAAGTGGCTTGTGTACTTTCTTTTCTTCATGCGTAATAAACTTCAATATTCTTCTGCTAAATGTAGATTGGCAGTATCTTGCGAAAAGTTCAGAGACCAACCATCACAGTAACAAAGTGCAAAATTAAATTGTCAGTCTACTAAGTCAGTTTTCACTCTGAAATCTGACTTGCCCAGTATTACTATCAGCTGGGGTCATTACACAACGCAAGATGATAGAAGTGCCATCGACAGTGCAGGCAAGTCACACTTAAATATCTCCACTGATGCTGCGTTTGGGTTTTGCCAAGACAGCTCAGCTCCTGCCTTCAGTATAGCCTTGGTTCAAACTGCTCTTGACATGAAAGTCTCATTAGACAGCATGCAGCATCAAGGAGCCCTAACAATACTGAAGTCAATGGGAATAGGGGGAAATCTACACTAGTTGCAATCATACCTAGCACAAAGGAAGATCACTGTGGTCACTGGAGGTCAGTCACCTTAGCAGTAGTTCCTCAAAGTAATATCCTAAGCCCAGCCATCGTCAGTTGCATCAATGAACTTCCCTCCATTATAAGATCAGAAGTGGGGATGTTCACAGATGATTGCACAATATTCAAAACCAACAGCAAATCTTCAGATATGGAAGTAATCTGTGTCCAAGTTCAACAAAATATCCAGGCTTGGGCTGACAAATGGCAAACATTTAGGTCACACAAGAGCCAGGCAACTACTGTATCAAACAAGAGAACATAAGATTGGCCCTTGACATTCAATGGCATTACCATTGCTGAATTTCCCCACTAACTGAATCCTGGGGATTAACCACTGACCAGAAACTAAACTGGGCTAGCCATATAAATACTGTGGCTACAACAGCAAATCATAGGTTAGAAATTCTGCAGTGAGTAACTCACGGCCTAACTCCTCAAAGGCTGTCCACCAGCTACACGGCACAAGTCAGACAAGTGATAGAATACTCACCCATTTGCCTGGATGACTGTGCCAAAACTCAAGAAGTGTGACACCATCCAAAACAAAGCAGACAGCTTGACTGGCATTCCTTCTAATGCCTTCAACATTCATTTACTTCAGCACATAATGGCAGCAATGTGTACCATTCACAAGATGCACTGCAATAACTCAAGACTCCTTCAATGGTACCTTTCAAATCTCAACCAAAGGGCAAGGGCAGCAGATACATGGGAACACCACTACCTGCTAGATCCTGTCCAAGTCACACACCATCTTTTCTTTGAAGTATATTGCTATTCCGGCACTCTGATTGGAACTCCCTCTAATAACTACATTGTGGGTGTTCCTACACCACATGAACTGAAAGAATTCACAAATGTTGGGTCACCACACATTCCTAATGGAGCAACAAATGTTGGCCTAGATAACAATGCTCACATACAAAAATGAATCATTGAAATAAAAGAAGCAAATGTTCAAATTAGAGCAACCACTGACTGTAAAAGCCCCAACTTCCATCTGAGCAAAAGGGATGAAGAATGGGGAGACTAAAGGAGGGCTTCCATGTAAAAGGAAGATTTTAAGGCATTTTTATTCTTTCACATGATGTAAACATCACTGGCTAGGCCAGCATTTATTTATTATCCTTAAAATCACCCTTAGAAAGCGGTGGTGAGCTGCCTTTTTGGACTGCTACAGTCCATGCAGCATAGGGGCATCCACAGAGTTATGAAGGCTATCTCAAGATTTTGATCCAGCAACAGCAAGTGAAAGGCAATGTAGTTCCAACTCAGGATGGAGAAGGGCTCAGAAAATAACTTGCCCTGCGATGACATCCCCATGTACTTGCTGCCCCTGTCCTTCTACGTGGTAGAGGTTGTAGGTTTGAAAATGCTGTCAGTGGAGTCTGAGTATTTTTGCACTCTCTCATACCCACTGCTGGCACTGTACATCAGTGTTAGAGGTAGTGAATGGGATGATGTCAGTCTAGATGATTGCTTTGTCCTGGATGGTGTTGAGTGACTCGACTAATAGCAGAGCTCCTATCACCCAGGCAAATGGAGCATATTCCATCATAATCCTGGCATTCGAGTTGTAAATGGCTTCTCAGCTTCAGGGAGTCACAATGAGTTATTTGTCACAAAACTTCCAACCTCTCGCCTGCCCTTGTATTTACACATTAGCCCAGTTCAACTACAGCATGCAAATAACTGGAATAGAAAAGCTGAAGGTAGGTGGGGAATTGCTTTGTACTGAAATTATCCTTTGCTTTTTGCTTTTCTGATGCTGCTGCAGCTGGGTAATCCACAGTCACTAGCTGATGCTCTGAGGACATCAAATCCAGGGGAATTTGGAGTTCTACAAACAAAACTAGGATGAAAGATAATCTCAGTACTGGTGACTATGAAACTGTCTTCACCTGTCATAAAAACCCATTTCAGTTCACTAACATCCTTTAGGAACGGAAACCTACCATCATAACCTGTTCTGGGCTGTCTGTGGCTCCGGACCCATGTCAATGTTGTTGACAGTTAACTGCCCTTGAAATGGCCTGGTAAGCCACTCAAGGCAATCAGGGACAGACAGGAAATCATCCTCATTTTTAAGTTGAATTTCAGACTAATTCCTATTAGGTAGAGACGCACTAAAATTATTCATGTCAAGTGAATGCAGGAATAGAAGTTTCCCCCTGCCACTAGAAACCAAACCAACAGTGAAAGAAAGATCCACTTTCCCCAACAAGCATAAAAAACTTCTGCTAAGACAAACTGACTAGATTACAGAACTAAATGCGCATTTAAACAAAAAACAGAATTACAGCACTTCCCATAAGCACTAGAGGTACCTGTTAGGTCCCCCAAGCAGTGTTAGTGTCATTTGGCTGGCACACACTCCAGTCATTTCCAGTCTGCGCTCCAGTGACAGGCCATGCCTTTCAGCAGTAGCCAGCAACTTCTTGTGCAAGTCGTAAGAAATACTAGGGACAACCAATCCAGAATCTGGAAGGCAAGCAAAAACAAGGTCAATGCAACATGTGGAAAATATTCATGAGGTATTCTTAAAAACACCAGTTCATTCCCCTAAACATCCTGGCGGTAGAATACAAATCGTACTTTAAGCAGTTTGAGAATTTGAATTTTCTATTTAAGTAGCTAATGGAAACAACCATTTCAAAAGACTCTTAAAAATCTACCTGCTTCAGCAATAACTTTCAGGGAAGACAATCTGCCATTGTTATCTCGTCTAGTCTCCATGTGACTCCAGACCCACTGCAATATGGTTGACTCGAATGCCCTCTGAAATGGCCCAAACTACTCAGTCTTGGCAAATTCCAGCCTTGTCAGCACTGTCCATAATTTAAAGAATACTGCACAGTAATGACCACAAATATTCACACATTCTACAAGTTTCTTCAAACCATGTCCATCAGTTCAAAATAATCCATTAACTGTGCTCCAACTGTTACTTAATGCTGAGAAATTTTCTGAAATTGCAAGTAGGAGAGGTACCAACATAAGAAAAATGCTCCACATTGGTATAAAGCAAGACACACTTAGACTGCCATTTGAGAAAACTATCAAGGATAGGATTGAGTATTAAGTTCACTTCAGTGCCAATTAAGCACCATCTGAAGTATCGAGGGCCATTACTCCAGTGTGATGTTACATTGTGTTGCAACTGTGAAAATGGCCCTAACTAATGTGGGATATTGATTACTAGACACTGGTTTGCAAAATTAACTGGACATGGTCAAGTCCAGAGAGTGATGGGTTCATCAAAACTCAAGCTTTATAAAAACTGTTAGCCAACATTAGTTTCATTCAGGCATGTTAGAACACAGTGAATGTCAGTATAGTGAATTCCTGCCCAGAAGTATCATTTCTGCAGATAATCAATGAGGGCTAACAATTTTCACCTATTTCATGTATATGTGGAAAAATAAGTGTATATATAAACAATTTGTATTTGCATTAACTGAACAAATACAAAAAGTGTTTAGAAGTTGTTTGAAGTTTAACATCTCACCTGAAATTATAACAGTTCCACGAACAGCTGCATGCAAGGAAACCAGGCACAGTTTTTAAGGAATGTAGAAAAAATGCTTCTATAATTTTGGAACTGAGTGAGGCACTAGGGAATCCTGGCAATTTAAATTGAAGCCAAATGTAGCACAAACTAAGTAGAGAATTGGAAATACTGGGGAGCAGATACAAACTGTTACGCTTTTGATAGAACTACATTGTCAAAACATTTTTAAACAAGCCCCATGATATAAAAGGTTAAGCCTGGGATACATACCTCTGGTTCATAGACGTAGAAATACAAGTTGTGCTGTGACAGGGGAAAGAAAAATCCCGGCATAAAAAGAACAAACTTTGGAGAAAGAGAGGATATCAATGGAAATGGCATTGACAGTTTCTTTCTGCTCAATGCTCACAGGCAAACAGCCAGACCCCAAAAATCAGGAGGAACTGCCAAGCAAAAATCATGAACTACACCAGAAATGAAACAAAAAGACAAGAGAAAGAATGGATCACAGTGCTTTTTTTTTTGGGTCAGGTAGCTGGTGTGGAAGCAAGTCACCAGTCAGCACCTTTGGCTGAACAGCGGTTGCTTCATTGGTTGACGCAAGAGGAAATCAAATTCCAAGAAGAATTAGAGGGAATTAAATAAAAAAGAACAGCAATTTGCTGGAATGCATTACTGAAAAACATCCAAAATTAAATTGCTTTACAGAAGTGGTCCACTGTGGGGACTGCCACCCCCATGGGGTATGCCAGCATTGCTTTCTGAAGCCTTAGATTCAATGTTAAATTGTATTGGTTATGTCAGCCCTTTGCAATGGATGAGAATTGATGAGTTGAGTTTCTAGATAAGTTCAACTGTTGTAGAGAGCATTTCTCAGGAATTTCATGCTCTGAATTTAAGAAAAATTTCAAGAAAGGAATGTTTAATTCCCAAAGCTAATCCTAACTTTTCTTCTTGTATATCACAAAAATGGAAAGAGTGATCACACACAATTGCTTTTAAGAAAACTAAATTTCACAGACACACAAACCCTTTAAAAGGCTGTCAGTTCCAACAGCTTGTCACATTTTTGACTACTGGATACTTCAGATATGACAGAAGGCACCTATTTCGAAAGTCAAATTCCAGGTTCATAACCCTATATTTGTATTTCATATGCAACTTCCATTTTAACTTCAGGGAGTAGATAGTAAAAGTGAAGGTAAAGTCACCATAGTGCCAGAGGAACACAAGGCTGCTCTCTCATTAGAGAGGGGATTGCTGGTGAGTTTAACTGGACAGTCATCAAGCCCCAGATGAGGGGCTTGGCTGAGGTGGTGGGATCCTCAGGATAACTTCAGCCAGCAGGTGAATAGAACTGCAAATCCAAAATCCAGCCAACTGAGTTAATTGACGCCCAGGGAGAATATATAAGGTTTATGGAAATGTCTAGCAATCCAGAGACCCAGACTCATGCTCTGGGAACACCAATGAAAATCACATCATGAGGGCTGATGGAATTTAGATTCAAGCAATAAAGAATTTGAATTTAAAGCTCATCTCAATGCAAACCATGGAATATCTAACTGTAAAACACCATCTAGCTCGTTAATGTTCTTCAAGGAAGAAACAATGTCATTCTTACAAGGTTTGGCCTACATGTAACTCCAGATACACAACATGACCAATTTTCAATTCCCTTTGTGTTGACCAAACAAGACACTCACTCAGTTGAGTGACACTCAAGTGCAAATAAAGATGGTCAACAAATGCTGGTCTTGCCAGTGATCTTCACATCCCAAAGAAAAAATAAAAATCTTAGAATGCTCCTCTTTTTGTGGCAGAGAAGGATAAAAACCCAAAAAAATCTGGTATAGTCCAAACACAATCTGATTGAAGTTCCATAACCCAAAACATCTATCCCCTTCTAGTCAAATGACAGGTAGCAGGGAATTGGGAAGGTAATTAAATTGGTTTGCCCTGTTTATAAGAGATATATACTGGAAACAGCTTTATACAATCTTTTGAAATACTTGCAGTAAAGTTTGAGCTTGTAAAATGCTTAAATTATTCTCACTATGCAGTGAGAAGTCTCAGGTGTACAAGTTGGAATTTTTTTTTAATCCTTTACCAGAGGTCTGATTTCCTGCCAGATTTCTGCCATCCTTCTGAATGCATTGACTCCTCCACAAGGAAGGTGGAGACACAGTATCACAAGTACACACTTCTCTAGAAGTTGACCTGGATCTGCAAATCTAGGCAATATTATGGCAAATTACTAGACTGTGATGAAGGCATTACAGCAATCACAATCCTGTCCTTTAATCCCATCAGAGCATGTATTGAGGTTTGCAACCAGGAGTGGGCAACTCCCGCTAATTTCTCCTCACCAATGCAGGCTGCAACTCTAACTTCCCCTACTACTATCTTACCTGTAAACAGGAATCAAAATGTTCCTGATCTGATGAATTTGTCACTCAGTTTTAACTAGCTACAAGAGTGGGTAAGTTACAGTTTATGGATTCAAGTGCACTTAAAACCAATAATCATTAATAACCAAGGCAGCTTTTAAAGAACTTTTTGAAGGCTAAGCTTTGATGTGACAGCCAAACAGATCTTATTAGCTTGAAATAGCACTAAAGCTATAATTTCTTTTCTCCCCGGACATACTTTGCCATAGCAACTCGTACTTTCCAGCAGTTCCGGTATTTACAGAAGTAACCCAAGAGATGATAGCAGTCACTTAAAGAGCATTAAGCCTTCAGGGATCGAAACAATCAGATGGCTCCTGATACACATACTTAAATAGAACAAAAATGTGTCAGTCAGGTGTATTTATATTGTTTGCTGCAGCCTGTTTGCACGTCACTGGAGAAATTCTGAACGTCTCGTTCAAACTCAGCACATACCAATTACATAGCAACAAAATGAAAAGAATGAGGAAACTGCTACTGTTTATTTAAGCCGAAAATACAGTTTTGTAAACTATGGGTTGCCAAGAAACAGTGGTACTTAACACACAAGTTGGCAGAGATGCTTTCCGTTGAGAAAAAGCAAAACGTTTTGAAGGCTCCTGTCACACAAATACGAGCCCATAAGATAGAGATCTGCAAAGTAGAGAATACCTTTATAATCAATTATATAAAAACAATGATACTGGGAACAGAAATCTGTGGCAAAGTGGACTTCCTATCAAATTTAGAACCAGAGTTTTCACTCTCTGTGGAAAACTTCAGAAATCAACTGAAAATGTTACAAACTCGGAAGTAAAACATATGCTCTGTACATCCAACTGACAAGGAAACGGTCATTTACATCTAAGTCTGCAAACTTGACTGTAATTTTCAAAGAACTTACAATCTGGAGAACACAAGTATGCAAATTATAATTCTGACAGTACTTGTTTGAGCTAGCATAGCTGAATTGCAGACCTCATGTGCTTGTATTGTTTTGCCAGCTTTGAAAGCAATCTCTCCCTGTTCATTAAAAGTAGTCCAATCAGGAAAAATAACAATGCACCTTTAGTGCAAACACACTTAATGCTGGCTACTGTAATAATCTTTTAAGTACTGTGCACATTACAATACATAATATTAAATTCTACAACATGAATTGATGGTGCTGACCAGCAAGTCTAATATTTCATTTCATTATGGATATAGTTTTGACACAGCCTCTTTGCAAGTTCTGAGAACTGGATACTAGTTAGATATTAAACAAAGCAGGTCATGCCACATCCAAACTTACGTGCCATAAGAAACACTTAGTAAAACAATACATCTGATGTTGAATAGATCAAAAACTTCAGAACAAAAAATCCCACTGTACTTGGCAAAAATCTTACTATGCAGCATAGTGCAACCTAGCAATTGCTATGAAACATGAAAAGACTGCACTGGAGCAACAAAAGAAAAAAAGTTAGTTGAAAACATACATTTCCTGAAGCATACACCCTAAGAATAAGAATAAATGACTTTACTGTAGTGATTAT